GGAGGGGGATTAAGAATGCATGGAATTCCGATACTTGATGTGGTAAAAGGCCATCGGAACGGGACAGCTTGTTCTGGGGAGTGAAAGATTGTTTCTGGCTGATTGGAGGAGCCAGGCCTTGAAGACACAGGACTGGGCTGCCTGGAGATGGGGGAGAGCATTCTAAAGGAACAATAGAGCGAGGACTGGAGGCAGAGCACAATGGGCCTGTGTGCGAAACTGCAGACGGCTTCATTTGCACACCGGGTGGGATGGTCCCGTGGAGAACAATACATTGTAATTGAATCAACAGTAAGGGAACTGTGCGTTTCAACTACGCTACTGAATTCTTGCATGAAAGACTCAACACATGAGAAGTGAAGAATTGGGGTTATTCTTCTATTTCAGCAATTTTATTTTTGAGCGAGTTCTCCTTAGCAAAACTTTTGGTGGGATGGTTCTATGCTTTTATCCCAGCCCCTCAGACTTTTCTTTACACTAAAACATCCATCAGGGCTTTGTCATATAGCATCTCAGTCACTTTGACTCTTAGCCCCAAACACTGACTTCGAACTGGTCCTGGAAGGAAGCCTTGAAGGTCTCTGTGGGTAGCCCTTCCCCAGAACGGTCCATCAGGAGCCTGGGAAGTTTCACAGTGTCCCTGTAATTAGATGTGCTGGAAACAGAATGAAGCACCAGGGTGTCAATGACAGGCGCTCTTAACCGCTCATCCATTACCCCTGCCCAGAGCATTTGCACGTGTTCACTGTTTCACCTCCTTCTGCTGGGTTCCCCCTGAGGACAGGCTTTTCACAGCTTTGTACTGGACAGCTATGAAACAGGGCTCACCCCTTCGTCCCTGTTCTAAGGTCACAGAGTAGTGAATAATACTATATCCTGATTTACTAGAGGATGTGCTTCTCCAACTGCCATTAATGTAGCCTCAGAAATAAGACCTCCCCCCCAGGCCCTGGAGCTGAGCAGTCGAGGGGGCACCTGGGGCCTTGTTGCGGGGGGTGGGGGTGGGATTGTTTCGTGCCTGACAATGAAGCAGGGATGTCCACAACTTCCCAAATTCTATTAATTGAATATGAGATATTCATACTTACTCACTGTATTAGTTTTCTAGTGCTGCAATAACAAATTGCCACAAATTTAGCAGCTGAAATCAATGCAAATTTATTCTCTTCTACTTCTGGAGGTCAGAGCTCTACAATGGATCCTAGAAAGTGTGGGCAGGGCTGCGTTCTTTCTGGAGGCTCAGAGGAGAATCCATTTCCCTGACTTTTCCACCTCCCAGAAACACCCATATTCTTTGACATGTGGTCCCTTTCTCCATCTTAAGAAACAAGACTCCAACTTTTGCTTCATGGACCCACCTCCGTTTGACTGACCTTCTTGCCCTCTTGTATGAAGACCCTGGTGATTAGATTTGGCCCACCTGGATACTCAGGGTAATTTTCCCATCTCAAGATTCGTAATCAGATCAGCAAATCTCTTTGCCATGTGTGGTAGATAATCACAGGTTCTGGGGATTAGGACGGTGGACATCTTTGCGGGGGCAGTTTGGGCAGTGTGGAGGTGGGGGGGACATTGTTCTATCTACCACACACTGCAAAAAGCGCTTTCTTTTTGGTTTTTCTTTTTGACAAATAAACTTTGGAAATGTTGGGTTCAGTTAAGTTAAATAGGTTTTTTTAACTGCAGAACCGTCTGCCGTTTCTCACATGCTAATACGTGGTTGCATGTTATTGGAATGAGCTGCACCTTTCTGATGGCCTTTTACCAAGAAAGGAATTTAGTATGTATTTCCCAACCTTGTTTGATCCAAGGCCCCTCCCCGCCCCACCCCCATTTTCCCCATGTGAAACCATTTCAGGACAAAGTGGGAACATGGTCTCAGGATGCACACTGGAGCCAACGGGGAAGGGGAGACCCTGCCTGAGGAGGTTCGCTTTTGGCCGAGTTTCGGGGTGTTGCTTCAACAGATTATGTACAAGAACCGTGGCTCTCACATTTAGCACGTTCTCTGCATGTCACCACATGTTGTCGTGTGAATGACTGCACACTGGGGAAGAGGGATTTCTCCTTTAGGATCTGAAATTTCATCTTGGAAATGTCTGACTAGGATTCGGTTGACTTCCACTTCACCTCAAAGGGCAGGTGGAGAATTCTGTTCTTCGCTTCTTCATTTAGCCACTGGCTCCACGGATGTTTATAAGGCAGGGCTCTGTTGGGGAATCTACCTCTGCCTTCTCCCTGCCCACTTTCACCAGTTCCGGTCCTCACCCAGCCCGTTTGGACACTGCCACCCATAACTCTTGGCTACAATCACAAACAGCTGTCTCCCAAAAATATCCCGAGAAATTTCCCTCAACTATGTATATTTCAGGAAGCTCGTCGCACAAAGCAGGGCTATAGGCAGGAGGGTGGGGCCCAGGAAGTTCACTGTGAGTCACTGAGCCAGTGCTGCCCGAGCGCTTCAGGCCTCATGGTTGGGTGGCAGGGTGGGGTGGCCAGCACTTATGTTCACGGCTGGGTTTGATCTATGGGATTTTTTTCAAGTTAAGGGCAGTGCTGGGAGGCAGCGCCACAGAGCCTGGCAGCCAGAACGTGCCTTCAGCCATCCTGTTGAACTTCCCTCTGGATGGGGTGCCATCCCTACCGTGCTCGTGTGTGCTTAATGCCAAGAAACACATTCCCCAGACTGTCCCATTGTCATCCTCCTCCCCTGCCCCGCCCCCTTTCTGGAGGGCCCTCTCCGGGAGGACTGCTTCACTGTCAAGTACTTATCAGCCTATTTATAGCTCCCGTGAAGGAGTCAGTTTCGGGAGTATTCCATTAAAGGACCACATTAACGAGTCCTCAGAGAAAATCTCTCACAAAGCTTTTGAGCTCATAACCACTTGGCCATGTTATAAGCTTCTGGTGTGTTAACATTCATAACACAAAATTATGGTGGCTGCTAGCTCCCGCGTTCCCAGGCTTTGCCCACTAGAAGCTTCTCCCTGGGCGCTGACCCCTGGACCAGTGCTCAGGCCCACTGGGGCCCAGGCCCCTGTTACTGTCACTGAAGGCCTTCCCTCCTGGTCGGGCTCCCAGCTGCTCTCTGTGCTTATTGGATCAGCATCTGTGAGAACATTTTGGAAGATAACAGCACAGCTGGCTTCCCTGGGGGGTGGGGAGTAGCTCTGGTGACTGTCCAACCCCCCGCATGGGCCTGACAGCTGAGGACACGGGAGGAGGGGGTAGGGGCGGAGTCCCAGGAGCTGGAGGAAGGTGTGTGGCCTTGGAGAAGGCACACACTCGGGCTGGAATTCAAATCAGAAGAAACAGAATTTGAAAAAGTTTCCTGTTATATAATCTTAACGGGAAAGTAAGCATTTCAGGGTAGTTCTGAAGTTGGAGGGTACCATTTATGTGTAACTGGCTTTTCAGTGTCCCCAGAAAAAGAAACAAGTGTGAAAACCACGCTTGGGGGTTCGCATTTCCTTTCTGCCCTCCACCTCGAGCTGTCGATCAGCCAGCCTCATGACATCAGCCCTTATTTTTAGGGATGTTTTGATGGGATATGTTTAACAGGTTGCTGAGGCCCAAGCATGATGACAGTGCAGCCAAGGGGCGGTCGAGCTGATTCACGTTGCCTCTGCGTCTCCTTTGGGCTGGGACAGTGGGAGGCCTGGGCTGGAACCACCAGGACTCCTGGAAGATAGGGAGCGGGAGGTGAGGCCTGTGAGGCCAACTCCGCGGGCCCGTGGGCCTGCAGAGGCCAGCCCCCTCTGGCCTTCCAGGCGCCAAGTCTGTGCGTACCCCCTAGGGCCCCCACGCAACTGTGTTACTGTGGAAGTGTCCAGTATGTTGCTGGCCATGTTTGCTCTTCAAGAAAAGTCCCAGCAAAGACGCAAAGGTTACCTTAGAGCTACCTTGAGTTTGATTCTCAAGGTTGTTTGAGTCTGTCTGTGTTTTTGAGACAGAAGTGGCGCTGGCTGTATATTGGTTCAGCGATGTTTCATGGTGCCCCAGAAATGGACGCCAAGGAGGAGAGTGATCTTAGATACAAACATGCCAGGAGGCGTCTGCGCCTCAGTATCTGACATGGCCAAACACACTGCAATTGTGACAAATTCTGAAGCTCTGACTGAGAAACAGATACTGCTTTATATCTTAAAGAATTTAAATTCACCTTTGGATGCCCCCCAGTAGGACGAAGATCTCACACCCCTTCTAATAGATATATCACAATAATTATATTTTATGCACTAAAGGTGATTTTAGTCACACTACTAGTCTCTTAGTAAAGGTCAACGTACACACCCTGTAAATCTTAAGATCCTGTTTAGACAATAGTTTTTAGAATAAACGTTGGGTGGTCATGGTAACCATCCTTTAGGCGATTATGTAAAGACTCAGGCCTTGGTCACAGTCATTGAGGGTGGAGGTATTTGGGCGTATTTGGGATAAGTTAGTTTTTAGCATAGAAAAGGTCTAGCTGTACCCTGGAGCATAGGAATTATGAGGAAGTAAAACCCTGATACTAATGGAACAATGGTTAAACTGCCCGGTATAAAAAGGGGCATGCTGTAAAATAAAGGGAGACACTTCTTGAAAAAGCGCTCCTATGTCTCCATGCGTTTTTTTCCTTTTTTCTCGCAGACTCCGCCTCTCGCAGTCTCCACCTCCACCTGAGGAAACCCCTGGACCTGGGGGAGCTGGCCGCGCGCGCGCGCGCGCGCGCACACACACACACACACACACATCTCAGCTGTGGCAGCCATGGGGTGGGGACCACTCGGATCACCTCCTCTTCCGTCGAGAAGCTACTGGCTCCTTCACTGGACTGGGCTTTCTAGCCCAGGCCACGCTCCTCCGGAGCTGCCCCCACGGTGGCTGCCCTCAGCGGGAGCGGGAGGCACTTCCGCCCACCTTGTCCTGGGCTGGAGCAGTAAGGCTCTGTCGGGGCTGCATCACAGCCTGCACCTTGACTTGCCCAGCCCTGGTTTCTCCCCTTTGGTCGTTTGTAGGCCTGACCCCCCAACAAGCCTCCTGCCCGCCTCTTGTGCACCTGCAGCTGCTGCTTCCCAGGGGACCTGACTGGCACAGGGTCACAGATGGGAATGGACTTGGAAGTGGTAACGGACCACTGACGTTCCAGCCCCACATGCACCTCAGATCTAAGGTGACTGACTGCATTGTTTATGGGACCCCAGGCCTGGCCTTGGGGTGGGGGGTGGGGGTGGGGCTGCAAAGACTACAAGGAGCAGGAAGGCGGAGCGGAAGAGAAAGGCCTGCAGGCCTGCAGCTGACATCCTCAGAAGGGGGTCGGGAAGGGGAAGTGAGCCCCCAGCCAGCTGATGCCTGTGAGCTAAAATGTTGGCCAGGCAGGAGCATGTTCCCTTCCATTTCCAAACAGTTTAATGCTCGAGCCTGGGGTTGGGACGCACACTGGGGGGGGTCCTATTTCCCATCTGGGTCTGGGGGAGTAAGTACATATTTGCAGTTGCTGAGTTTGCTTGGAGCTCTGCCCTGGGACGTGGGGGCAAAGTATGCCCCACCCCAGGCAGGTACCCTGGGGGCTGGGGTTGGTGGCGGGTCCAGGGCTGCACTGAGAGTTGAATGCCAAGGTGCCGGTTTATTTTTGTTATCTGATGCTGATTCCCATGTCTGATAAATGGTGGGTGATTAATAAAGAAAAGTGAAGAATTTCCCTTACACAGCAAACCAGGGCAGCCTGTGTCGTAACCAGTTGTTACGAACAGAATACCTTTAAAGATGTGCCAAAGAGTTGGTACTTAAAGGACGATGACTCTTTTCATAAGAAAACCTCTGAAGGAGGCACTAAAACTTATGTGTTAACCGAGCAACCGCTTTATCTAGTTTGAATTTTGAATGCAGCATATAAAACAACAACAACAGGATATACGTGTAATTTTAGAAGAGATGGGCTGATTCCAAAATATCTCCGATACTACATCTTCCAACTATAAATACTTTCCAAGCAGCGTATTTGTGAGTGATCCCAGCTTTCCCTCTAACCACCAGCCTTTCTAGCCAAGAGCTACAACCAGCGGGCTTTTGTTTTAACCCTGAGCTGGGGACAGAGGTCAAGGAACAATGCAATCCAGGCTGGCCCTGGCCCTGGCCCCGGCGGCAGTGTCACCATCTCTAGGTAGGCGCAGGAAAGTGGTCCCTACTCCCGAGAAGAGTGTGGCCTCTGGGCTTAGAATGAGGGTCTCTTCTTTCCTTCTCATTCCTGCTCCACTTGGTCCACTTCCCCGGGAAGGAGGGGGGATGTGTCACCAGATGGGCCGTGGTGTCAAAGGCAGCTCAGTACAGAAGGGAGGGGTGTTTGTCCCCCTAGGTCCAAACAAGGGGTAGCTGACAGATTCCGCTGCTGTGTCAACTCCTTTGGATGGCAGGTGCCGCCCAGACCACTGTTTGGGGGCATTTCAAGGTCCCTCTAGGTTACAGGAATTAGCCACCTCTGACTGAGCGATGGTGTCAGCCTCGGTGCTGGGGAGAAGTCTGAGAACGCGTGGAGCTTGCATTTGTCACCCTGGCCCGGGAAGGTCTGCCCGGCAGCCACCCACGCTTGCTCCATTAACGTGGGAACGTGGCGCGGTCCTGTCTGGACCCACTGCTGCTGCTTCACAGCCTCCTGGTCTGCAGGAGCCTGTGCCTGTCGTGTTTTCAGATCTGCTCACCCTGATGATTCTCTCCACCCTCAAGGAGTGAGCAGCGGCCCGCTGAGCGCCGAGGGGCACAGGGAGAAGCGAAGTCGCGCAGACCCTGGGGGGTGTCGGTGTCAGCAAACCAAGCAAGTGCTACTGAAATGATTTCCAGGGCTCCCCAAATCTGCACTCCTCAACCCTCCCTCACTGATGCATACAGCTCCATCTCGAGTGTCACTCTGTTAGAGAACGGCTTTGAGTCCCACGTCAACACGAGCCTGTTTTCCTCCTGCCTCATGCTGGTGTCCCTGTTGAATGGGGTGGAGAGCAGGGGATGGCGACAGGGAAAGGAAGGAGCCCAGTGAGGCTGGAGAAGGAGGTGCAGAATGGACTGATCGGGAAGGAGGCCAAAGACGGACACTGTTAGGGGTTCCATTGTGTCCCCCTCAAGTCCTAACCACCAGGACCCATAAATGTGACCTTATTTGGGAATCAGGTTTTGAAGATGCCATCAGGTTGAATGAGGCCCTTAGGGTGGGCCTTAATCCAGCACGACTGGGGTCCTTGTAAGCAGAGATGGGACAGAGGTACACACAGCGCCATGGGACCGTGGAGGCAGAGACTGGAGTGAGGCTGCCACAGCCAAAGAACGTCTGGGGCCTCCAGAAACTGGAAGTGACGATGTAGGAGCCTCCCCGACAGGCGCAGGAGAGGGCCCGGCCCTGTCAACATCGTGACTTCAGACTTGTAGCCCCCACAACCATGCAAGAATCGATCGCTGTTGTTTTTAGTCGCCCCGTCAGTGGTGTCTCTTTATGGTGATCCTAGCAAGCTGACACAGCCTGTTTCACTCATTCCTAACCACCATTCAACATCATTATAAATACCAGACATCACTCTTATCCTATATTGGATGTCCCAGGGATCTTAACTGTGGGCTACAAAAGGGACATTCACACGAGGTCCACGGTGGGGCCAGCCATGCAGGCCGGACCTGCAGGACCGGGGAGGCAGGCAGGGCAGAGCCGCCTGCAGCCCTACCACATGTGCACCTCTGAGAAGGAAACAGTGGCAATGACCAGTGTGGACAGCCAGGGAGATGCAGGCAGCAATAAAAGACAAGAAGGCTGTGTGGAGATGATGCCAGGCTCTGGGGAAGGGGGGAAGTCAGAAATGAAACGCAGGCTCCAGCTCATGTTCCAAGAAGTTACAGCAGGAAATAAAAGCTTGACCACCGTGTAAGCTGTGCTCCCGAAGACCGAAGACCGCAGGGGCAGTGCTGTGGCACAAAGAGGACCCCGGGGGAAATGTCAGTGTCCTTTGTCTTCTCCTCCATTGGGGAGAGACTGAAACACCTGTCAGGAATCTGATGTCTGGGTTTAGGACAATTGCAGGAACTGATTCTGTGATAAGCACCTGTGTCATTAGAGTTGCTCAGAATGACAGCAGCAGCAGCACGTTTGGAGATCAAAGACTCTGTATCCCAAAGTGACAGCCTGAGTGGTTCAGGAATCCCTCTGTCACCTCAGAGAACTGACTGGAGCCATGGTTCTCATAACCTGGGGTTGGTATGAGCCACCAGCGCTGGGGCTGCAGAATGAAGCTAAAACCAGAGCTTGGCTGGCGGCTGAAATGTGGGCAGCACACCAGGATGGGCCCACGTGCCAAGATGGGAGCCAGTGGCTTGTTTGGGATTAGCTGAGGCTGTTCCAAAGGCTCAGTGTTTGCGCCTGAACTTGACCAGAGGTAAACAACAGACAAAACCCAGGAGCCAAGGAGGGGTCTCTGAGCTGGTCCTCTGAATCCCAGGTCTCACCGTCAGTCTCAAAGGCAGTGGTGGCTGAGCAGGACACAAGGGACAGTCATCTCAGCCTCAGATTTATTTCACTTCTACTCTGGGACCAAAGCACAACTGTTTAAAGCCTCATTTTTCTTCTTCCACCTGGACAATGATATCACTCGAGCTGGTGTCAAAATGAAGATGGGTAGATTTGAGTTACGAAAAAAAAAATGCCTCTAAATCCAAACTCTGTGTGTAACAAAAAGATCTCCATGTCCGGTGACAGCCTTTCTCCAGTGATCCAGGGATGTCAAAACTCCTCTATCAAACAAGAACGGGACTGTCCATCGTGGCTTACTAAAATGCCCATATCAAGTAAAATCAACACATGTGTACTTAGTGGTAACTATGATTACAGAGACACAGAAAACGTAAAACAATATGGACTTATATGAGTGCGTGGAATTGAAAGCCGCATTTCTAAGACCCCCAAGGAACTGGAACGCACTGAGATGGAAAGAAGCCGTGGAAACGCTATGGGAACGGTTGCTGGGCAGTTAGGTTTTGTCTGGAGTTGGGGCTGAAATTTTCTAGCCTTGTGATGTTGGCCAAAATATGTAAGTGGCAGAGCCCCAACTGTATTTTCAATGACAAAATGGGGATTTTCTCAACAATAGACCAGGGATCACACTTCCCAACAGGCTCATCGTCAGGGAGGTGCTGAACACGCAGCTTGGCGTGTAGTCACAACAATGGTGAACAATCATATTGTGGTCACAGTAAGTGCACTTGTAATAAATGACAGCGATTCAATGTGCAAAACACATAAAGTGCCTGAAAACATCTCCAAGCATGTCAGAATCTCTAAAAAATGGTCGAGAGTTCACAGTTCACAGAAGTGGGAATACAAGTCAATGGACTAATTCAATGAATATTAGAGGGGGAAAAAAAAACAACACTCTCCTTTATTCACTACCTGATGGAAGTGCAAATTTGATTATTTTGGAAAAAAATTTGGTAATTGTTATCAAGAGTCATGATAGTCTACATTTTGACCCCATAATTCTGTTCCTGAGAATGAAAGAATTCAAATTAAGAGAAAGCTATACTTATGATGAGGCATATAGGTAGGATAATAAGTATTTCTAAACATCCAATAATATACAATGGTTACTTTGTCCTAGAATGCTAACTCTATGACATATTACATACATGATGATTAAAAATTACAGTGTATACAGAGTGTATGTAAAATAATGTCAAGTAGGATACAATATATTGACGTAATTAATTGCCAATATTTAAAAATTAACATAAATATATGTAGATATAGGTGAAAGGAAGATATGAGGAAATGTAATTCATTTTATATTGGTAAAGGAGTTGGAATATAATCATCTGTATATTGCTTTATTAATAAATATATTAAAATACATAGAACTAATTATCTTAATTTATGCATATTACCCATTATGAATCTATAACTCCTCAGGATTTATTTCATATTGACCTGTATTAGGGTAGAACAATCCAATTTAGAGAGTCACGTAAGACACGAGCGAGCGCCATCCTCTGTGGCATTACTTGACAATTTATAAATATTGCCTGAGCTCGTGTATATAAAGTTTCTCTCAGGGAAACTTTCTCAAGATTGCTTGGTTCCCTGATACTCTTTCATGTTAAGAACTCCAATCTTGTAAAATTTGCTAAATCGCTCTCTATTATACCTCAAAACGTCTTCAAAAGTCACTGGATTTTTCAATTGGAGAAGAAAAAATTAATTCGGAAAGTACCAAATAGCTAAAAGAATATTATAAATGATGGAAGTAGCCCAGCAGAAAGGTTCGGTTGTCGGCCTGATTTGTGGTTTTTGAGGACCCTCTAAGTTTCATAAACACAAAAACCCTTTCTGAGAGCTGCAGATCGGACCCCGCATATGCATTTGAGGAGAAGCTATTTTTGTCCCTGGGTTCTAGTTACACAGCCAGAGCCTGGAAGCTTTGTTCTCAGAATTCATGCTGTCATCAAAAGGACTCAATACAAATACAGCAGCTAGCCTGTCCAGTGGCTTAGCTGTAACCACAGCTGCAAACTCTTCTGTCATGTGAAAAACTCCCGGCTTTCTCTGAGCCTGGAATGTCTGTTGGCCACGCCCCCTGCCTGTCTTGCCTCCCCCTGGAATCTTGTCCATTCTTACTGTGAACTCAGTTTCCCCACGTTTCCCCGGACCACCTGCCACCTGCCTCCGTGTGTGAGCTGCGTGTAGCCGTTGTGGGCTGGCCCTTTCTGTTTTCCCTTATGGTGGGAATCTTTATATGGCCAGCATCTATGAACCTGACAGGCACCTGTGTGTCCCCCTAACTGAATGCACACTTCTTCAGGGGAGAGCCGTGTCCAATTCACAGTGCTGACACAGTGTGTGGCCCACAGGCCCTCAGGGCATCTTCGTGTGTGGTCTGTGGAGAGACTTTAGGGGTCTATGAAGTCCCTGAAATCCTGGTCTAAGTTTGTTCCCTGTTAGGGGAGGGGCAGGCACTGCTATGGCCTCCCAATAGGGGTCCCTCTCTTCTTTGGGCCCAATAAGCCCCTGGGGTTTGAGCCAATCCTAGAGGTCTCCTTCCCCAAGCAGGTGATTGGCTTAGACTTTGGCACATCACCTTCCAGGCCAATGGGATCCAAGGAAGTTGGCTGGGAATTTCCGGGAGAGTGCTCTCACTAATGAGGGGATGGCCTTGTGATGTGACAAAGAGGCAGAGCGGGAGGATGGGACGCACCTGAGGTCTTCAGGTGTGACCAGGCACTGCCTTCACCAGCCCTGATTACTTGACTCTGAGCTTGTGATGTGATACAATACACGGCCTGTTTCTTAAGGCGCTTAATTGCATTTTCTCTATTCTTGTAGCTGATACACCTAACATGAAAGCAGCCATTAAGAGTTTCTATTAGATGAGCAAATGGATCTGAGTTCCCCCACCCCCGAGGTGAAGGATCTCCGCAGAAGGTGTTCAGTGGATATTGATTGATCAATTGAACCATAGGTTGAAGCACAGAGAAGCCCTGGCGATGCCTCCGAATTATCCAGGTGCCATGGAAGTTTGCTGGGCCTGTTTAGAGGAGGTTGCTAGCTGGAGTGTGCCGTTCCCATGCTCAGGCCCACTGCTCAGCGCTGCCAGGCCGTGGCAGAGAGAATCAGGGAGGCCTGGTGTTAGAGAGAGTGGGGGTCGTGGGCTGTTGCACTGAGACACCTGCCCGAGAGAGGACCCAGTGGCCTGGGGCTTGGTTGCTGCTTCTCTGGTGGGTAGACACCAGGAGAGTCCCACAGATCAAGAACACGCAGGGCAAATAGGGTTCAACTTATAGGCCAATTTTGATTGATTTGTAGTGTTGAGAAGGATTCTGAAGTTGTGTCTAAATTTAGCCTCGATTTTTCTTTGTTTCCTATGGACGCAAATGAAAGGAATCAACACATTCTTGTCAGTCATTCGCCTCCCTTTATATGGTCTGGTTCTTGGCTTTTTGGATTAGGAAATAGGGAACCCCTTCCAGAACAGAGGCTTTCAAAGGTGGGTTCACACGCCTCCTGAAAAAGGCCCGACTCCCCTTGATAGGCATCTCTGTTGGAAAACCATCTGAGTCTGAGGCCACATGTCCTCCAGGAGGCAGGTGGAGGTGCTGTTCTTAAGCCACCTTCATGGAAACCAAGAGGCGGGCATCAGGTTAATCGGTCTCGGTAAATGAATTTCCATGTATCGTGGAAGGAGCCTCTTTTTGCAATGGTGGTGAGCACACTCTGACATGCCCCTTTTTTCAGAGCCAGGGAGAAGAGTGAGACCCTCTGTCCAGCTGCTGTTGCTCAGAAGTCACTGCCACGAGCCTGGTGCGGGGAGAGCCCGGTGCAAGCCTGGCTTTTGCCCCAGCAAGCCGTTCCTCTGTCCTGGGACGCTTGGTCAGGGTCCCAGGCCCGAGACCACCCTGGCAGGATGAAGGGGTGCCTGCTCCTCTATTGCAGCCGTGGATGGTTCTGGTGAGGGTGGGGCTTCCCTCAGCTACACCCACCTCTGCGCATGCTTCTGCTCACCTGGACTCCATCGGAGGAGGACCAGGACACGAGGTTAACTGCATCCACGTGGAAGGGCACCAGGTGCAGAGAGCCGGGTGTGTGAGTGTGTGTGTGAATGTGTATGTGAGTGTGAGTGTGTGAGTGTGTGAATGTGTGAGTGTGTGTGTGAGAGTGTGTGTGTGTGTGAGAGTGTGTGTGAGTGTGAGTGTGTGTGAGTGTGTGTGTGAGTATGTGTGTGTGTATGAGAGTGTGTGTGTGTGTGAGTGTGTGTGTGTGGAGCGGGACAGCCTGGGCTCAGTGGAGTTGGCGGGAGGCTCTGCCAGACCACCTGGGAGTGGAGAGGACCGCGTACTCCAGGTGAGTGGGCCTGCTTGGGTCCAGGGCATAAAGAGCCTCTTTCACCTGGCCAGGAATATGTCTTCTGTAGGAAAGGCTTCTGAATAGCAGAAATGCACGATGGAAATGGGATGAAAGGGGGGAAGGCAGGCAGGGAGAACCATCTGGAGGGTGTGGGGCTTGGGCTCGAGGGCTTGGGTCCCTGCAGTGGCTCTCAACCTGTGGGTCCCAACCCCTTTGGGGTCGAACGACCCTTTCACAGGGGTCGCCTAAGACCATCGGAAAACAAAAAGATATTTACATCACGATTCATAACAGTAGAAAATTACAGTTCCAGAGTAGCAACGAAAATAATTTTATGGTTGGGGGTCACCACAACATGAGGAACTGGATTAAGGGGTCGCGGCATTAGGAAGGTTGAGAACCGCTGCTCTAGAGGGTCATATGAGAGGCTGTTGGTGAGGGCCGCTCGCCTGCCCCCTCCTTCCCCTCTCTTCCCCCTCTCCTTTTCTTCCCTCCCCTCCACTGCCCCCCAGCTGTGTGCTCACCCTCCCCACAACCCCTCCCTCATCTCCTCCCCTTATTCACCTCCCCTCCATCTGTGCCCTTTCCCAGGTAGGTGACAAGCTGTGCATAGTGTTAGGGTTGCTGGCTTCCCCGTGCTTGTGGCCTGTGCTGGTCTGCGAGGAGGTTGTGCCTCCCCGCTCCCCCCATGATGGATGGCTCTGTCCGGGGCCCTGGGTCCAGGAGCTGGGGGCTGGGGGTTCCTGCCGGATGGATTTGCTTGAAGTGAAGCAGATGGTGCTCTTGGCTGACGGGAGGTGGCCGAAGGACATGACCTTCCTCCCGGCTTTTCTTTTGGGAAAGGAAGTCTTTGGAAGTTTGTAGCAACTGAATAAATCTTGTCACTTTGATAAGCAGGGTTCCGTTTCGCTCCCTGCGTGGAGAAAGCGCCACACTTCCTCCGATTGTCTCAGTTTATTGAATTTCAGTATGAGACATGATAACCTCGTTCCTGGGGAGAGCAGGGAGGAAGTGGCGGCCGGCCTGGCTTCCAGGCCAGGGCAGGAGGAACGGCCGCGGCTATTCTGGGAAGTTATTTTGATCTGCGAGGCTCCCATCAGCTCAGGTTTCTGTGCCCAGCCTCAGGGCCACGTCCTGGGAGGATGAGGCGTTTCATTATAATAATAGACTCAGAGCTCATGGAGGCTGGCGGCTCTTTGAGGGCACAGGTCCGCGTTGGCTTGGACCCCTCGACCCTCCCAGGTGCCCTTGGTGCCCTGGGAAAGCACCTGGGCTGGGACGCAGGGGACGAGAGAAGGGGGAGGGGCGGGGCTGCTTCTGGTGGCTCCCGGGAGCTGAACGTTTTGCTCTGCTCTGCTCCCAGGAGCACAGTGACTCAGGGGGGCAGTGACTCATGAGATCGATGGGTGGCAGAGGCAGGGAGGCAGCTTCCAGCTTAACGGAAGGAAGAATGTTCTCGTAATTAAAGCTCTTTATAAAACGTCCCGTGAAATAGAAGCTCCCGACGCCTGAGAGCTTACACGCCGCCTATCAGCCCCCTCCTCCCATCCCCACATCATCTTTAATTTTTTAAATTAAGTAATTTCTTCTTATGATACATATTGTATTACTTTGCTAAGCCTGCAGCAAAAAAATGCCACATACTGGCAGGTGGTGGTGGTGGTGGTGGTGGTGGTGGTGGTGGGTGCCTTAAGCTACAGCAATGTGTTATCTCATAGTTTTGGAGGCTGGAAGGTCAAGGTGTGGATAGGGGGCTTTCCTGCTGAAGGCTGCGAGGGAGCGTCTGTTTCACGCCTGTCCCAGCCTCTGGTGGTCTGCTGGCCATCTTTGGTGTCCCTTGGCTTGTGGAAGCTCCACATGGCGTCTCCCTGGGTGTGTGTCTCCGGGTCCCAATTTCCCCTTTTCATAAGGAACCAGTGACACTGGAACAGGGTCCACTCTGCTGCAGTGTGACCTCGCCATCTGCAATGACCCTATTTCTCAATCAAGTCACATTTTCCATTATTGAGGGTTAGGACTTTAACATATGAATTTGGGGGGGCACACAATGCAACCCCCTAACAGACATGCTACACATACACTTCAGAAATTTAGAAAATGGAGACAAGTAAAAACAGAAAGAAGTAATAACTTTCACATTTCTATGCGCTCAGAGACCATCGCTATGAATATCGTAGAGCATACCGTTCTGGAGAGAAAACCTTAACAAGGGACAAACTGTATGCACGCTCTGTGCTTGCTTTGTGCAATGGCCTCTGCCTTTCTGTTTCACGGCCTTTCTTCTCGCCCAATGTCTAGTCTATGTTCACACTGTGTGTTCTTCACAGCAGCTTCGCTCAAACCAATAACCAGCGCAGGCCTATTCATTTTAACGGATTGTTATGTCCCTCAAGCTTCTTTAATCCATCACTGGCCCTTTTACGACACCGACTCATTGGGGGCCAGTGATGCTGCCTGATGCCCCCCCGTTGCTTCTGTGTGATGTTCCTGGGTCCCCTGTGCTGCCAATACACTGGGGCTCACCGTAGCTGTCCGATGGACTCAAGTACAAACGTTTTTGGATAAAAAAGGTTGCAGGCACATCTAAGTGCCTCAGGTCAGAAGACACGAGGCGTCTGGTGGACCCACATCAGGCCTGGCCCGGTCCGCGGGTGGCACCTGGGCGTTCCTGCACTGAGCGGGAGTGGCACCTCATGGCCTCGAAAGCTCCCTGCAACACTGAGATTTTTGCATTTTGAAAGTCTCTGATAGTGGGGACAGGAGCTTGTCCTTACTGGTGGCAGCTGGCACTAGGAAAGGAAGTGTGGCAGGCCTGCCGGGCCACCCTGATTGCTGCCCTTCGGGAATCACACCAATCCTGAGACTTCCAGTTCCAAGAGGTCCTGTCCTCAGATTCCCGACACGGCGTCCACTGATGTGGGGTGACGGGGGCGTCACCAGACCTGTGCCTCTGTGACAGTCCACACCCCACAGTGCTGTGAGGTGGGGCCTTGGCAGACTGCTGTCTCCCCTCTACACCATTTCCAGGAAGGGCTGTAGCTCTTTCTAACATTGTACAGTGGTTTTCTTTCTTTGGAGGAATAACATACAATGAAACACAAACTTTATGTGTATTTTGCTGACTTTCTGACAAATGCACACACTTGTGTAACCCAAACCTCTATCAAGAGACAGAATGTGCCTGTTGTCCATACAGATCCCTCGCGCCCCTGCCTGTCAGCCGGCCCACCCAGCGGTAGCCCCGGCCTCGGCGTTTTCCACCGTAGGTTATTTTGCTCGTTCCAGAATTTCACGCAGATGGAATCGACAGGTTCTCTTCTGGTCAGTGTAGGTTGGGTTTCACCCATGGTGGTGCCAGGGTCAGTCCGCTCCCTTTCCCCCTGATGAAGGCTGTGTTACAGGAATGGCTGTGGTCTCTGTGTCCATTCTCCTGTCGATGGACGGCTGTCTCCAGTTCTGTGCCATTAGGAATGAAACTCTGTGAACGTTCTTGTACAAGTAATGTTGTGTACAGAGGTTTTCATTTCTCTTGGCTAATTATGCGGGAGTGAAATGAGTGCGTCCCAGTGGAAGTGGTTACAGCATTGTACCCTCTATCAGCAACGTTCGGGAGTGCTGGTCTTACCAGCCTTCCTCTTTTTTGCCATGTTGGTGGGTGTGTGGTGGTACTTCCGTGTGGTCCTTATTTGCATTTCCCTGATGACTGACGATAACAAGGACTTTTCTGAATGCTTATGGGCTACTTGTATATATTCTCCGTGACTGTACCATTTTAAACTTCACTTTTATCTCTCTTCCTTATAACTGTTGTCGAACTTACTCAGGCATTCGGCACATGAATTGAATTTCTTGATCATCCTTCAGTGACGACTATCCAAGATAATTGGTAGGACGTGATCCTTGAGAAGCAGTGAAGTCACGTGTTCTCATCTTGTTAGTCCTGATCCCCTGTCTCCAGGTTTCAGGTAAGTACGCCATTAGCAGGTGTGGGAAGCTACTGGGCCAGGTGCTGCTGATTCATTGGGGGTAGGTAGGGCTGAGGGCGGGAAAAAGAAGAGCCCTTTGCCCTAAAGAGCTTACCGAGGAGGTTGGGTGTGGAAGGGTGTGGTGGTGCAGACATTGCAGCTGAGAACAGGGAGGAAAGGCAGCGTGGCCTCTAGGGTCTTTGGCTGGAGACGCATGACACCAAGGAGCTTTTTTCAAGCTCTGGGTAGAGCTAGTCATGTTCTTCAAATGGAGAGTGAGTGTGTTACCCCTCTTGGCAGGGGTTGCTTGGGGCCACTCAAATGGCCTGAGAGAGAACAACTCGGAGCCAGCTGGTGACCCCCGGGAGTCATGTCCCGTCCAACACCGTGTGGCCCCGTCTCCTCTCCTTGATCACCTCTCACTCTTGTCCTTCTCTAGGTGCTCCGACCTGCTCCCACCAATGCACCCCCTTCATTTATAGGGACTCCTTTCATTGTGGACCTGTAAGCCTCCCAGGAATATCACTGGGCAGTCTTAGACTAGACCACAGAGAAAGAAAAAGAGGACAAGAAGAGGAAAGCAAGCCGGATGGGACAGCGGGCGGGGAGAAGAGGATGAGAAGGGAGCAGAAAGATGGCCTCCAGGCAGTCACCGCAGTGTGGGCAGCGCCAGCCCTGAGCTGCTGGGCCTGCCTCCGAGTCGGATGATCTTGAGGGGTTGTGACACAACCCAGACCAATGACTCTCCTCCCCTGGACAGCCCACATGACCTCTGAG